TTCCTCGGAATATTCCCGGCGAGGGCATTTTCGGAAACGTCAAGAACTTCCAAGCTTCGTAATCCTCCGATCTCAATAATTTCCCCGGAGAATGAATTATTTGACACGTCAAGGACACGGAGGTCTGGTAGACTGAAGAGCGAGTCCGGGATTGACCCGTTGATTGAATTTGAGGATAAATTTAGGGTTTGGAGGTGATCAATGAGGCCGAGATCGGCCGGTAATGATCCTAGAAGTTGGCATCCAGGAAGGGACACTCCTACTACGCGAGGAGTATCACCCTGACCTAAGAGTGTAAAATTAAAAGAACTACAGGTGACGCCACGCCATAAACATGGTGTGGCGTCATTAAAGTTCCATGACTCTAAGACGTTTAATGGGTCATCTAGAATGGTGTATTTGAAAGAAAGAAGGAGAACACCATCTGAATTTAGACTAGAAGAGTAGTGAATATTTGAGACACAAATGGAGAGTAGTAGTATGATGATTGATGTTGCCCTCATTTCATCATCTTTTGTAACAATTATTCCTCATCTTTGGGATTTTTGACAGAAAATGTTTACAGAAAATTTCTTAAAAAATGAAATTTAGAAGAAAAAGAATGGGGGAGAATATTTGTAAGGGGAGTGAGATTTATTATGGGATGGCAGTAGAGAGCATGTGATAGGAATTTGTATTATGAACAAAAGAAACACAGCTCACACTGGTTAACTAGCCCAAATAAGCTTGCTTTATTTTTATTTAGTTTTATTATTATATTATTAGTACTACTTTTTTCTTTTTAATACTCTAATTATTAATTAATATAACACTACTTCCCTTTACATTGCTGAAAAGGGGTATGTAATAAATTATATACATGTCCCTACTTCAATTCTTGGTATGAATGCAAGAAGGAAAAATGATTATAATTTGACAGACTATCATACTTACTACTACCACCAGTGCAGCTCATTTTAGTATGAGAGCTGAAGGTGAGACTTTCGGTGGACTTCTAAATAATTGTGATAAATGTATTTAATACGAGTAGTAATCTCTCGTTTTTTTACGGTTCTTTTTATGAGTGTTTGATTTTTCTGTGAGATAATCACTGTTCAACTAAGAAAAATTACTCCGTATTAGAAACGATGGCATAACAATGCTAAGCTAGTTATACATTTGTTACGTGTAGCTTGACTTTTTTGTGAGACAATCACTGTTCAACGAACAAAAAAAAACTACTTCATTTAAAACGATGGCATAGAAACACTAATCTAGAGTGATACATTTGTTACGTGTAGCTCAATTCATTTACATTGCCAATGAACTACGTCAATAGCCTATCTATCAGTAGTTGGATCGTTGTCATAACCAATCATAAACCACTATTATCACACTTAAAGTAGTGAGCGTGACTATTGAGCTATTATTATATAATTGCGGAGGCACAAATTAAATGAGAGATCCAGATATAATTAGATCCACCTGGTTTGATTTAAATCTAAGGTGCTCTAATCTATCAAATAACAACTAGTTGAACTTAACCTATACTACAAATTAAACACTTGGCATGTTTCGTAGCCTGTACGTTGTAGCTAGCAAGATTATAATAACGCTCGAGTAGTACGGCCATAACATGCCATAATGTCTTTCAATCTTTCGCTAATCTTTTGTTTGTCTTTGGTCATCTTTGTTGGCCCATTACTTAAATTTACTGTCACTTTGATAGCGAATAAGTAGTTGGAATCAGGACATAAATTTAAATTTCTTGTTGTCGACGGTCTGATATGATGATGAAGGATGTAAACATATATATTATGTATTTCTTTAATTTATGAATCTCAGTTGTTAGATACTAACAAATCACAAGGCATACACTCTGTATGAAAAATAGTAGTTAAAGTTTTCAGGGTAATACATACTCAAACTTTACAATCAAATTTCGTTTACATCACTTTGTAGTTATATACATTTTTGACGTAGTTGATCAATTAGAATATTCAACATTTTTGATGTAGATCAATGTCAATCGAATTTTTGTGTTCAAACCATAAATTATTAGAGGGGTTTGTTGCAGTCGAGATTCAGTGAAAGTTTTGTAAGCTATAGGTTTGGGAGGAGGCATAAATCAGCCACATGACGTAGACTTAGATCATATGAATTACAGCATGACAAAAAACACATTAATATATAGGTTAATAAATAGAGGTTGCAAAGCTATAATGATAAGATAATTATATAAAATCATAATTAGTGGTACGTAACACATTATTTATTGATGTTTGTATGTTTTATATAACCAGCAAGTTTCTAACTAATAGAATCTATTATGGACGTTATGGTCGGATCTAAGTTGTCGTCGTCAATTGATCACATGCTGATCATGAGGGAGTAAGGGGAGTAACTGCACAGATTTGGTTAATTAGTCAATTAGTATTTCCGATTATTTCTTACATTATGTTTTTTTATTATACAAGTATTATTTGTTACGATCAAATAAATAAATAATGCTTATTAATAAATAAGTTTAAAAGTTAAAATTGCACATGAAGGTTAAGAGAGGTAGTACCATTTTAAATGTCAAAGACAATCTTCTTACACCAAAGAGGAATTCAATTTGATATCTCCTTCTAATTTGGGTAACATAATCTTACCATGCCCTAATCTATGTCTAGATGTGTAAATAAGCAAAAGCTTTCATATGATGATAAATTATACAAGTATTTATTTCATCATATTATACGGAGTATTTATTTATTTTGTACAACTATATGGGGTATTAAAGATACTGAAAATAAATTTAAAACTTGAAAATTTGTTTAGTTGTTGACATGATAAATATTGTATAGATTTTAATCATGTTGTTGACCCATCTAAAACTATTTATTTTATTTAACTAAACAAGTTTTATACAATTAGAGCTTTTCTACTATTCCAAAAAAAAAAAAAAATAGAGCTTTTCTACTATTTGTAATATATATGCTCCTTAAATCAGTAACATAGATCGATCTTAATTATTCAAATATAATTTTATGAATGGGATATGTAGAAAAGAGTTATACTTCTTGTTTTGTTATGCTTTGTCTTGTTTAAAGTTAATACCTCATACGACTATACGAGGTGGAATAAACTACGTACGTAGTATTAATAGTGTATTGATTGTTATCAAATCTAGCTATTTCAGTACTTCAATCCAAATAATTTTGTGGCTTTTAATTTGTTTCATGTTATTTTTGTTGACCTTACTGCTTTACAGCAACATCATGTATAATACATTAAACTAATTGTACAAGGTGGTCTGGCATAAATTAGCACTTCCTTGCTCCATTTCTTATCTTATACTTCATATTACATTTGACTTTTGTTTGAATCCGAAAATTATGTGAAATTCAATGTCAAAAAAAAAAAAAGAAAAGAAAATTATGTGAAATTTGATAGAAAATGAAAGGACGAAATTGAAAAAATTGTTTCTTTACTTTCCTTCTCGATCTTTTATTTTACCTTTCTTTTTTCCCCCTTCCCTTCTGATCCTTTACTACTGTTGAACCAAACAAAACCTTATGGTCTAAATACATATCTTCTTTATTAGAAGTTCGATAACAATTGTTGATATAAATTATAGTAAAAAAAATTTTAAAGTTGACCCTGAAATAATTAAGTCAAAATATAACAAACAAAAAGGAAGGGAGGGAGTATAAAAATTTTGAGTACAAGAAATTGAATTTCCTATTTATTGGAACTTTTATAAACAATACAAGAACTTTGAAAAAGTGTAAAGCTATGAAAGTAAAACTTACAAAGATCTCAATAATTTCACATCTAAGAAGTGATATATATAATGGCTATTACTTCTAAGCTAAGTTTCATGCTTTTTTTAATAGATGCTTATTTAGTTATGATACCAATATAATGCGTTACATTCTATACTTACTTTATTTAATTTTTATTTATACTTCGTATAATTTTTTACCATAATCTAAATGTAATTATAGACGCACTTTGATAATAAAGCCAAAAACCTAATCTGCTAATTGATTATATATCATAGATACCATCGATCGATCATGTTACTTTCATTTCATTTCATTTGTAAAACTTGTTTACCATTTTGGCATTTATAGCTTTGAGCCTTTGATTAATATCATAACAAACATTACTAGGTCGTCTTAATTATTATATACTTCAGTCCATATGATATACTACATACTATTATTAAGATTTAACATAATATATTCTGCATATTTATCCTGCGTGTCACGGAAAACAAAAACAATAAAACAAGGGGAAAATGTTAAAATGTATAGGTCATCACTCGTCATCTTTCTTGATTTGTTTCTCTAATTGCATATGATTAAAGAATCTTCATTAGCAGCCTTTCTGTACTAAGTACATACTACTATCATATATTATAATATAATCAATCTTTTAATTAACATACTATTAAGAAGTAATTACCTTTATTTCATACAGAAAAGATCTAAGCTAGATACGAAAACCTAGGTCAGTTAATCTTAATTAAGATATTTATATACGCCAATTGGTTAATTGTACCTAAATAGTTAAGCATCTTTTCAATAACCAAAGTAACATAGTACTCTAGTGACCTTTTAAATTACATGCACTTTGGCATCATGGAAAAAATTCCAAACCTGAAAAAGAGGATGCATAACTCCTTTTTCTTTATTTTTATGTCTAATCTTATCTTACTCGCATATTATCATCAACGCCAAAAGAAATTGGCAAGGAAAAGCACAAAGCATAGGTTCTTTAAGAAAAAATAAATTGTAAATATGCGAAAGGCCATCGCAATAGATCCGCAACCACAAAGGCATAATACAAAATTTGTATTTAGATGATCGATTGATGTATATGCAATGTATGTAGAGTATGTTAATTCTTTACGTATATTCCGTTCAAGTAAATATCTATTTTCTTGTTAATTGATTAAAGTCTTGAGAGATGATTTTCAAAATATGAGATTAAATCCCAGCAATTTACTACGAGTATTAAAATTATAAACTTGCTTGTCCATCATGTCACATAGATACCTCACACAAGAGATTGAAGCTTGGAAAGAAAGAATTCTTTGATGCTAATTGTAGATTCTTGGATCCCGATCATAGATGGAGAATGGATAGAAAATCATTCAATGGAGAAACAGAAAGACGACCACCTCCTATCCCTTTGTCGGGGGATGAGATAGTAGAAGCCTTTGATGGTGTTCCGAATGTGATATTTGGGAAGAAGAGAAAGAGAACCAAAAGATACTTGTTTGGCCAATGGAAGAAGTTTAGTACCTTCTTTAGACTCCCTTATTGGAGTAAGCTTTTGGTAAGGCATAACTTAGATGTGATGCATATTGAAAAAAATATTTGTGATAGTATCTTAGCAACTGTACTTGATATTCCTAATAAGACAAAGGACACTTTGAACGTACGAAAGGATTTGTTGAAGTTGAACATGCATGAGAAATTGAGACCTATCAAGATAGGTGATAAATATGCCATTCCTAGAGCTCTTTATCAATTGACATTGCTTGAGAGGCGTAGAGTATCGGAGTGGTTGTCTAAGGTTAAAGTGCCAGATGGTTACTCTTCTAACATAGCTCGATGTGCAAGTGTAGAAGATGGAAAAATCTCGAACATGAAGAGCCATGATTGTCATGTTTTTATGCAAGATTTGCTTACACCGGCATTTCAAGGCATTTTGCCTAAGCAAGTGTTAGAACCTTTGGTTGAGCTAAGCTTGTTTTTTAAGCAATTGTGCTCCAAAACTCTAAAAATTGATGTGTTGGAGCGATTGGAAAAGAGTATTGCAATAACTCTTTGTAAGCTTGAAAAGGTGTTTGTTCCATCGTTCTTTGATATTATGGTTCACCTCCCAATCCACTTGGCTACTGAGGCCAAGCTTGCTGGGCCAGTGCAATATCGTTGGCAATATCGATTTGAAAGGTAATCTTATAGCTCATCTACATTAATATGTGATTGTTTAATTTGTGGCATCATTTAATAAGGTTTTTTCTCGTAGGGAAATGTACATTAATATGTGATTTGAAAGGTTGAAGGCCGACTATTTTTCAAATCGCAAATCTTTATTAGAGGCGGAGCATGCTTGCCCACCTTCAATAAAACTTGAACAATGGAAGTGGCTTGTTTATAACTATTGGAGCTCTCCTAAACAAAAGGTAAGTTATGGGAATGCTCTTGTAATCAGAATTCTGCAAAGAAGATTGTTTTCTTCCCCTTTACTAATCCTATATGTTGTTTTGTAATCTGTAGGAAAGGAGCGAGAAGAATCGAGCAAATGCTCTTGCAAAGAAGATCAAGTCGGCATGTGGTGCGAAATCAACAGCTCGCATAATTTATGAATTGGTGAGTATAAGTTATTGTTAATGTCTGTCTCTGTCTCTGTCTTAGCTGAATCTGTTCTTGGCTGAATTTGTCTCTGTCTTAGCTGCTGTGACTCTGAAACTCTGCTGACTTGATCTTACTGATGTACCGCATTACAGCTAGACTAATTTATGAATTGGTGAGTATAAGTTGTTGCTCTTATGCGTGACACTCCTAAATAAATTATGAAAATAGTCAAAGTAAATCTAGGTAGTTTGATGTTGTAGAATTAAGCAGTTTCAAATTGTATCAGAAAACAGAAATTAATAAGTGTATGTATATGATTTGATAGGAACTTGAGGCGTAAGCTTGTGAAAATGAGAATGAGGTCACCGAAATTAATGGTTCTAGTTCAAACGTCACCTCATCCCAAGCTAAAGATGATCCCATGTATTTAAAGTTATGGGAGAAGTCAAAGAGGTATATTGAATATTTGTCTAATGCACGAACACTTCATTTTTCTTTATACTAAAATTCTGACTTTGTTTTATCTTGTAAGGCATAAAAATGGGAAGTTTGACGATGAGGCCGAGGAGAAGTTCAAGGAATTAAAGGAGTTGCATGAGAAGGAAATTGGTGAAAAGGGGGTTGATAATCTTACTCTTGAAGAAGCTTATGTGAAGGTTCTTGGACATCGTTCAGGTTATGCCCGAGGTTTAGGCAAAGGGCACCCGGTGTCATCTAAAGATGGAAAGATAGGAAGAGCTGAGCTGGAACAAAATGTTGAAAAACTACAAAATGAAAATAATATTATGCGAGCTGAATTGGAAGCGTCTAAGAAGAAACAAGAAGACCTAGAACAAAAGCTTCGGTTAATCATGGAGAAGATTGGCCTTTGTTTCGGGTGAAAACAATGGGACCTTGCCGGAGGTCCGCTGAAACGGAGAAGACTGGATTCGGTCCAAGTTATGTTGGGCCGAAGGTTTCCTGCACAGTAAACACACGTAAACTAGCCTCGGGGGTGTTGCCGAGGAAGGCCCCTCCGATGCTAAAGTCAGTACAATGTGTAGAAAGAGAACAATATGCCAGAGAATTTGTTGCTTGAGGCTTTATTTGAGTATATGAGAATATATGAATCTATGAAAATATATGAATCTGTCAATGTATATCTGAATGTATGAATATTGATGGCTTTTATACCTCTTCATACATGGAGAGGTTGGGCCTTAGCCCAATTGGCTTGCTTTGAGGGCTGACCTTTGACTTTAGCACAATTGGAGAGTTGAACCTTGACCTTGGGCTTTTAATTGGATCATTTAATGCCTAGGCCCAATTGGACTAAATTGGACCCAAACAACTTGCCCCCCAGACCCGATTTGGAAGGATGACGGGTCGGGTTTGATTTAATTCAGAAAAGGAGGGAAGTAAATGATTTAATTAATCCAAAAATTTGAATTTAAACCGTAATTAATGAGATAACAACTGTTAAGGCGGATGATGGTGGAAGTTGGACGGATAATGGGCAGTTTAATCGCAAGGTCGTGTGTTTAACGGTTACTTAGTGGGGTATTTAAGAGAAATTGAAACGCGGACTCCCCGTATCCCATTCCTGGAGATATAAACAGAGGCGCGTCATCTCTCCTCACTTATTCACCAACACAAACCCAGAATTCTCGAGAGAAACCAAGAACCCGCATCAAAACTTCGCAAATTCCCCGAGCATTAAGCTTAGAAACTGAGACTTGCCACTACGAACTCGTAAATCGGCAACTTTCGCTTCAGATTAAGGTAAATTCTTTTGATTTCAGTTTATTTTTCTTCGAATTCGAACTCCTTCCCCTTTTTTTTCGACTTTTTTCTTCGAAATAATCAATGGCAAGAGGAGTTAGAGGTAGAGCCCTTGCTCCAAGAAGAGCAAGGCCAATTCCCGATCCTAGGAACAGGATTGGGACCTGGAATGGACAAAGGCCAGAGTCTGACCCTGCTGAAGGGATTAGGGCGACTCCAATTTCCTCGGCTCCTCCTCAGAGAACGGAGGGGCCGAGCGCTTCTGGACGGGACGATGAAGTTCCCGTTGTCCTTTGGGATATCCTCCCCGGGTTTTCAGAGTGGGAGAATGCCGAAGTAGCTTCGGCCATGATAAAGAACCGCCCCTACTCATGGTGGGTGGAGAATGCCGAACAATATCGGTTTGCCGAGCAAATTGAGTTGCATTACGGCATTTTTGAAGCTGATGGGTATTGGTGCCGAATGCCCGCGGCATCCGATAGAATCCATCGTCCACCCCCGGGGTATGTGGGGGTGTACACAAGACAGCTTCAGTACGGGCTGAGGTTCCCTTTGGACGTGTTTGTCCGAGACTTGCTGATCCATTACAATATCTCCCTATGTCAGCTAACTCCTACCAGCATCCGAAGGGTGATGACATACCTATGGGTCTGCAAGTTCTTCAAGTATGTGCCGAACCTGCACTGCTTCAAAAAGCTTCATCGGCTAGTGCCAAATATTCAAAGTGGGCACGGAAGCCATGGTTCTGGGTGGTACCGGATTGAGTCCCAGCCCCAGTACCTAACCATGTGGCCGAACGACTCTTCAGACAAGGACTGGAGAGGTCAATGGATTTGGGTTAGGGCACCCACAGATCCGGGCCACCCTTGCGTCTTCAGCGCTCCCCGGTACCTTGCTGAGCCTGATCCCGACATGGGAAGTCTAGGTCCCCCCGCAGATAACGGGCCGGATCCGAACCTTGATCAACAACATATCTTCGGCAAGCTGCCGAACCGGGGGGGCAGCGGCCGAATGCAGCATATCCCGGAGACTTGGCTCCCCGATACGCATTATGTTTTCCAAGAGAACATGCTAGCAGCTGTTGGCCTCAGCCGAAAGTTTAAGGATGGTAAGCTTCTTCGGCTGGGGCCGAGGCTTTTTAATTATCTCTTTTTCTTCTCTCACTTCGCTTTTTTATGCTGTGCCAACCTATCTGAACTGACCCTTCCCCTTTTCTTTTTCAGAGCGGGACGAGACCAACGTTGGCATTAACTACGCTCGTCTTGGTGTCAACCGAGAACGAGTTGTAACTGATCGGGCCCCGTCTATCACTGAACCGAGGCATAGGGAAGTTCATCTAGATTCTTCCCACTTCCAAATTGAGGCTGTTGCTCTGTATCGGAGGCAGAAGCCTTGGTGGAAGAAGAGAGACCCCTGGTTTCAGCTGCTGGACGAAGAAGCTGAAGCTGCCCGTACAGCCGAAGAGGTTGCACGGGTTCTCGAAGCTTGCGAAGGAGGAGAAGGGTCCTCCAGAGCTGCTGAAGAAGAAGCTGCAGCTAGGACAGCTGAAGAAGACGAGGCTTTGCTGAAGACCTCGGTAAGCTTTCAGACTTAACTTTGTCTTTCTTCTTTTTTCTTTTTTTTTTTTTTTTTTTTTTTGTACTCACATTCTTCCTCCCCTCTGTCTGTTACAGTCTGAAGAGAGTAACAGACACAGAGAAGGGAAAGCCCTTGTTCGTCCCGAAGACCAAATACAAGAAGAGTCTTCAGACTCAGACATGGACGAGCAGCCTCTTCAGAAAAGGCGCCGAAGAATGGCCATCATCGGCCCTCATGACTTTCAGCGGAGGCCGATGACCATCGGCGTTGAAATAAGGGAACCCGAGGAAGGCAATGGATCGCCGAGGGTTCCCCGGCCACCACCCCAATCACCTCAAAAGACCCCTCCGCCACCTCCTGAGATGGAGGTGGATCAGAGAACTCCCGAATCTAAGGGAGGGGTCCAAGAAGAAATTCAGGAGAGTGCTGCTGAGCAAAAAAATAAGGATGCCGTGATGCCCAGTGCTGAGGGTTTCACGGCAGACATTGCAAGAGAGGTTGAGGCTTTCGTCCTCACCCCTGAAGAAGAAGGGGTCATAGTAATTGACTCTTCTGAGAAGGATGATGCTGAGCCATCCAAAGCTAAACAAGATCCATCGTCATCCTTTCCCTCCTTCCAGACTCTGCAATCTGGAGAAATGGGTTTCTCGGCCCCCCAAATTCCAATCCCAGATCACATCTGGGACCTCGTATGGGGTCAGAACCGTGAAGGTGCTGCAGCCTACTTCGGCGATTTTGCTGGCATGTCCGAAGTAGATAGGGCAAGAATCTGGTCGCTGAAGGCCACTGCTGGGATGGGCGAATCCAGCAGATCAGTTCCTGACCCAGCCAGGTCTAACCAACTGCTGATGATGCATGTGATTTTCCTTGCCTTTATTTCCTCTAAAATTCAGCTCTATTTTTATTCTTTTTTATTTTTTAACTTGTGCTCCTGTTTTCAGTTCGTGCACAATCAGACTCTCACTGTAGAGCTGATAGATACCCTACAAGATAGGGTAGACGCTGCCGAGCACGACAAGAAGGTAGCTGAAGAGGAATTAAAGCTTGCTAAGCTGAAGCAAGCAGCAGCTGAAGAGAAGCAGCAGAAGGGTGAGGAGTACGAGAAAAAAGCTGCTGAAGCCCTCAAAACCTTCTGCGACGCTATGGAGAAGGAAGTTTTTCCCCACTGATGGAAGGGGAAAAATTCCTCCAGGAGCACATGGGAGTGGACGTCTCCAAATTCAAGGTTGCCGTTGAGAACCGTATTCAGGAAGGAGCTGTTGCACAAGCTGAAGTGCAACAACGACTAGAAGCTCTTGAAGCCAGCAGAATGGCTGCTGAAGAGCTGCTCCAAGCCAGGGACGTCCAACTCTCAGAGGCTGCTGCTGCTGCTGAAGTTCAAAGAGCTAAACTCCATGAGGCTGAGGATCAACTGATGGCCAAAAAAGTAGAAGTGGCCCAGGCTCAGACAAAGGCTTCCCAAGTTCAGCAGGAGCTGAATGAGCTGAAAGGTTCCTCCTCCAAGCTCGCCGATGAGCTGAAGAAATCCAAGGAAGACTTGGAGGAGACCCAGAAGAAGTTGGCTGATGCTGAGGCTCTACTCAAAGTCCGTGTCTATACCCAGGAAGAATATGAATTGGGTTTCAGAAACGGGTTCAGAGTATGCCGAAGAGTCTGCCTTCATGCTGAGCCGAAGCTGGACTGGTCCCAATGTGCTGAATGGGTCCAGAATCCCGAAGACCCTCATATGAAGTATGCAACTCCAGTCGAAGCTGAAATTCTTAAGGCTGAGGAAGCCGAAGAGGAAGCTGAGAGAATGGAGTTGGAGGCTGAACAGAGGGAAAGGGAGGCTCGGCAGAGTGCAAAGCCTGCTTCTTCTGCTGCTGGGGCTGAGGCCACCATGGGGCTCAACAATTCTGATCAGTCTGATCCTCGGGCTGAAGCATAGGAACTCGGGCAGTCGTCTTCAGAATCTTGCGGTTCATCATGCGCTTAACTTTAGACTTGCCGCTTTCTGAATTTTTTGCCTTGTTTTTTGCTTCAGCTTGCCTTGTCGTACAACAGTTTATTTTTTTGCTTATGTACGTATTTCGACAGCTGTTATTTTCCGCTTGTGGGCGGCTGCCGATACAGTTTAATTGAACTTGTAGCTCAATTTCTGAGCATAAATTATTAATTTGATGCTCTTTTCTTCAGCTGCTTTGTTTTTGAATGCTTTACTGTTTCTTTCATTCTGTCGAACATAAACTTGCACTGATAGTGCTTCTTGCCCCCCCAGAAATTGAAGTATGGCTTCAGCTGAATAAACAATTTCTTCACTTCTTTAAAATGGGTATCCGAAACACAGGGCCAACTGAAGGCAGTGCTTCTGGAATACAAGTCTTACTGAAGATTGACTTCAGCTGAAAAATGGGTATCCGAAACACAGGGCCAACTGAAGGCAATGCTTCGAATATTAGCTTTCTGGGATACAAGGCTCAGTTAAGGCAATATCCCAGAATTGTCCATGGACTCATGACTTTGGAGAACAATCTTACTGAAGTTGGACTTCAGCTGAAAGACCTGTGTTCTTTAAAAG